CTGCATTCAGACTGTTAAGTGCTAGATACACTGCAAATATTGGTAGCAAAATTATGCTGCTGTGCCATAAACACTCTCAGCTGTGTTTCATTTCTCTGAAGAGCAGTTTCAAAGCAATAGAATATTCATATATAAATAGCTTAGAAACATTGCAGTATGAAAAAAAATCTTGTAATGCTCTAAGTGGGTTTTATCAGTGTTTGAAATAATCTGTTTATATCTATGTGTGTTTCTAATAATAGTTTACCCTTAATTTTACTGTATCTGGATACAGTGATGCAACTTTATAACTACACAGTACATACTATTTTTTCAAAGAGCAGTGGTTAGTAATGCTTGGAAATAATAATCAAAATTTGTATTCTGATTGCAAATCCATATCTTGCAATGCTCAGTGAAAGGAAGACAGGCAGGGAGACCAAATTCAGTAGTTATCCAGATTTCAATAGTTCTTTAGGGCTGACACAGAGACATGCCATCTTCAGTTACGATCGTGACAGAATTTCATGCATGCTGATAGGACCAAAGACATTAGTGATCAATAAGTGATGTCACCTGATTAAAAAGCAGAACACTTACCTGACTTCTGACATAAATAAGCAAAATCATTGCAAACATAGTCATAAGTAAGTAAACATTCATGTGTACCTGAGCAAGCCTCTCATCTCAGCACAGTTCTTATGCACTTACTCAAGTATGTGCAGAAGAGCATTTGAATACTGAGATACCTCTAAACAGAGGTGTAACATGATAGGAACATTCTACTCTGAAAGCATACAGAAGAAAATTAATGCTTTGAGGGAGGGACCCTCATACCCAGAACACTCCTACATTGTATGGCCAGTCTTCGCGAACGAAGATTTGGGAAAGGTCATTACCCTTCGAGCCTGCGCAGTGGATTTTTTAGGTGAGACACAGTGTGCGCTGAACTGAGCCCACCCTTTAATCCTGAGGTTCATCTGCTGGAGCTGAGCGAGCTTGGACGGTGGCAGTGAGGTCCTCAGGACGTAGGTTTGTTTCGAGTGACCTTCTCTTAGAGGGATGGCCTTACAGGGCTGACGAGCTCCACCTGCCCGGGGGAGTTTCCCTGATCGGGAATCGAACCTGGGCTGCAGAGGTGAGAGTGCTGCATCCTAACCACTAGACCACCAGGGGGCCCCACACTCCTACGTACCCTGTGGGGAAATGCTGATTTTAAGACTGGCTACTGCTGCCCTTTCGGGCCTTGGTGTAGTCCATGTATATGTTCAGCAAACATGTTACAAGGCATAAGTGACAGCCGTGTTCTGCATTTTACATGCTGACTTTGAAAGCCCATCAAGACACAAATGAGCTACCAAATGCCAGAAGTGGGTAGTGTTCTTTTAAATAGTTTGGGAGACCTCTAGTGGGCCTCCTTCCTTGTCTCCTGTTGTAGCTCCCACAGCCTATGTAAAGAAAGTTGCATTGTCATGTAGCTTGGACAATATATGTGTATGCAGTTGATTAAATAATTGGAATTACTAAATATGACCGCTCTGAAACAATGCTTATAAGTAGAAATCACACAAAAGTACAATAAGGACTTTGAAAAATGATTAAGCTATGCAACATTGAGCAGAACAACATTGATATGCTTAGAAGTCTATGTTCAAATGCTTATCTTTAAATGTATTTTTAAGACCAAAGTCTCATTTTAGGATTTGCAAAATAGAAATGGCACCTTTTATTTAGAGGTATAATTCAAGTGACCAAAGAATATTTGGAGATCCTTCCTCTCTGGTTGTGTCTGAGCAATCCACACTGTATAGGTATCAGCATAATTGAAGCCTGTCTGGACTTCACACTTTTTCTTCGTTATATTTCTGAATGCAGCATGGAAATGGGACAACAAATCTTCAACTTGTTTACAAATTCAGAAGGAATGGATAATAAGACTGAAACACTAAAATTTAGCACTACCTCATTTACAGGAGTACTTTCTAACACAGGAATGATTTTCTGGTCAATTCTATACAGTCTTTTTACCTCACATGAGTAAGATTATAAGAGTCATGTACAAATGCCTGTTTTTCTATTGCTTGGTGATCATGAGAGCACAATATTGTATTGTTGCTTTTCTGAAAGACTATTGGTGTTTCTAATACAATTTCTGTTTTCATATTTTCACTCATCCAGAAAAGATTTTGCTCAAACAAAATATTTAATAACTAATTTAATAATTAAAAATAATTCCATAATGTAAGCGTAAGCATTTAAACCTTAACAATTCTATACCAGCAACTAATTAATGTGTAACTACACTGAAATCAGGAGCATCTTGCACAAAAGCAGACATTTGCCTTTGTGTCTGGATGAGCAGATATTCATTAGTTCTAAATTAGATTTTAAGTTTTGCAAAATACTATTTTGCCTTTCATATGCTCTAACAAGGATTATACAGGTACATTTGGAATATATGGGAATATAAAAGTACATATGTATTAATTCCTTTTTTTTCCCCGTCATATTAAGAAGTGAAAGAAGCTGTGGAGAGAAAACGGAATCAATCTGCTTTTCTTAATAGTGGGTCCTAATCTTGCAAAGGTATGTAAATGCCTAGCTCTAACTCTTGGGAGACATAAAGTTGATAGAAGTAACTGTATTTGCAGAGCTACCCATCTCCAGAAGCATTTCCCTTTGGTTGTACACCACGGCTGAAAATGGGTTTATATCTCAGCCTTTTCCTATTTTCCCCCCAAACACTGTACTCCTCACTCTATTGCTTCTCAGGAGAGAAATGCTTATCTCATTGCATACCTTATGGAGGGGGAAAAAAAGTCTTGCTGAAGACAGTATACAGGAAAAGGAAAGAATACACTTCCTTGCAGAACTTGCTTGGGATATTTAGAGCCCCCTGAAGTCAGTCAAGATGTCTTGGCATCAGCAGAAATCATAAAGGGCAGTCTGTGAACACCTATGCACCTTGCTTGTAAATGGGGAATCTTTGTTGTTGTAAAGTGGTGAAGGAACAAGGGGCGGAGCACATGTAACCATCCACCTCTGTTGGCACTGTGATCATCTTATTTTGACTTTGGTGTGGGAAATTCTATTTGCTGATCTAAGGGAAGGTCTGGAGATTGTGTGATGAATGTATATTTTAATGGTAACTCTTTCAGGTAATAATAATCACAGAGAAAGCCTTTCCATTTCAAGGATATTTATAGCCCAGGAGTACCATGTCTATACACTATCACAGTAAGTCTCTGATGTCCTAACAGGCCAAATTTCCTTTGCTTTCTCTGTTGGCTAAGTCTCAATATCAATAAATTCCTGTGGCATAATCCAGATAATTAAAATTTTATTCAAGTACAAGAAATACTGCTTCAAAAAAAGTTCTAAATAAGGATGATAGAAACCAGAGTCATAAAACAACTTTCGGGGAAAAAAAGTCTTTGAAAGACTACAGAGTGTAAACTAAGTAATTTTGAGATATGGCAAAATAACTGATAAAAAATAGACAAAAACTGGAGTGCAATTCTAATAATGGAGAAAAGCTATGAACATAAAGCTTTATGTAGTTAAAAATATTTAATATGTACATAGAAAAGAATGATATCCGGAGAAATTTGTACTTGGCACTGGAGTCATCAGAACTCTCAGCTGCATTGGCATCATGGTCCCCAGTGAAATTCAATGTAGGCAACACAATGTGCACTGGAAGGAGTGGTCTGAACTACATATACATTAGTTTGTTACAATTATCTAACCATTTAGAATATATTTTTTAATGCCAATACTTCTGAGTACATGAGTAGATCATATAAATGACATGCACATGAAATACTATATACAATGAAACATTCTATCTTCATTCACTGTACAATGTTAGATTAGGCCTTCACTTGGAATGTCATGTTCTGTTTGTCCCACCCCAAATAAAACACAACAAAACTAGATGGGACTCTGAGAAGCTTAGAGTTATAGAGATGTTCATGTGACAACCATAGTAAAAATGCCTAGCTGGGAAAGGATGTGGTATGGCTGTAATACAGAAAATGAAGAGGGTAGAGAAAGTAAATAATTTATATTTATCTGTTTTCATAACTCAAACACATACATATACCTGATGAAACTGGAGAGCAATAACATCAAAAATAAACATAGATAGCTTGTGATAAAAGTTTAGCATGAATTTCAGAGAAGATTGGACACTTATAAGGATAGAGATTACTGCACATGATATTTTGGGTGGGATTAGCAACAAAAGCATTTTTGAAAAGAAGTAGAACCTTAAGAATGGAAATATACCCTGATCTTTAATTACAGGAGGTTTAGAATTAAAGCTTCCCCCCCAGGCAGTGTTATTCCATATTCATCCACTGTGTGGGTTCTTGCATCTTCCCTTGAAAAGTCTGAGCCCAGACCATGGAATCATAGAATTATTTAGGTTGAAAAAGATCTCTAAGATCACTGACTATAACCACAAACCCAGCACTGCCATGTTCACCACTAAACCATGTCCCCACGTGCCACATCTACATGTCTTTTAAATACCTTCAGGAATGGTGACAACCACTTCCCTGGACAGCCTGTTCCAATCCTTCTTGTGAAGAATTTTTCCTTATTATCAAATCTAAACCTTACCTGGCCCAACTTGAGGCTGTTTCTTCTTGCCCTGTCGCTTGTTACTTGGGAGAATAGACTGACCCCAACCTTGCTACAATCTCCTTTTGGGTAATTGTAGAGAGTGATAAGTTGCCCCCTGAACCTCCTCCAGGCTAAACAACCCCAACTCCCTCAGCTTCTCCTCGTAAGACTTGTGCTCAGCTTCTTCACCAGCCCCACTGCCCTTTTCTGGGCATGGTCCAGCACCTCCAGATGAAACACCGGCCTTATGCAGCCTAGATTTATGATTTTTCAATGGATTCTTTACTTTTGATGTACACAGTGTAAGACATTATGTCCATGTTTTTCAGAGTGAACTTGCCATCAGTTGTCCAAAATACAAAGAATACCACAAAATCCTCAGGCAATGAAGGTTAAGCTACAGTGCAATACTTTGTTTATTTGATTTTAAAAACCCACTGCTTGTAATCATCGGGGTAGGAGACCTGTGAACCAGTACATGTTATTTTTATTTCCATTTAAAAATAACAACAGTGAAACGGAAGAAATAGTAATGCTAACAATAATAAAAGTAACTACATAGTCTGCTTTGTGCAGTACATTTCTTTCTTCATGCTCTGTAAGTGAAGGGTTGCTATTTACGATATGCTTCAAGCCAGCTTTTCAGAAGACAGCCCAACTTGGCTGGACAGCTTTCAGTTGCTACTGGAAATATGTCACTTATTAGGAACAGAGGGGTTGTTTATCACTGTCTCAAGGGTTGCTTTGGCTGAGGCGAAGAAATAGCTCAGTTATATAATGGAAAGAGCTAGGTCAAAGGATAAGAAATTTATGTAGTGTGTGCTCGAGACTCTGGCAGAGCAGACTCAGTTTCTCTCTTGTGTATCTTGCACAGACAGTAAGTGATACCATCGTTATATAGCTCTTCCCATCCATCCCCAAAACCACCTCAGAGATATGGGGGCTGAAGTCACAATTAAGAAACTCTCCCAAAACTTCTCAGTCAAGAAAGAAAGATTTGTCCTTCCTACTGCTTCTTTCAGCCTCCTGGTATGTAGTTAGTGTTCAGTCCTGGTACCCAGACTCATCGCATAGCCGCAGTTCAAACCCTTTGGCAAACTAGAAATGCCATCTCTAATGGAGATCTATATGGGTGCTGAACATCATCATTCCTTTTAATCCTCACCAGTGTCAATGGGGTGAGGACTCCTTCCCACAAACTCGGCTCTGATTTTTGATGAAACAGCAGAAGGCAATCCAATCCTGTCTGCTTTACGGATACCACCTCACGGAGTACTGCATGGTATTTCAGCAAGCAAGGGACAGTTAAAAAGAGTTGAACCTGCATTTCCATCTGCTTATGTCAACGTTAAAAGTCCAGCTCAGGATAGCCAAAACAGCAAGTTCTATACAAGGGGGAAAAAAACCCAAAAAAAAAAAAAAGAAAAGAAAAAACTAAGCATCCAGAGTCTTTTTCAAAACGTCCTCTCCGTGTTTTATTTGCAGTATCAAGGGCATCCTTCAGATGAAATGTTTAACCAAGCATCAAATTTTCAAGCACGAGCCCAACTGCCATAATAACAACCCAGTAAACAAACTCACCTAACTCTAATTACCAAACCCAGAAGCTGGCTCTGGACCGCGATGACCTCGGTTCCTCATCGCGAGAAGGAGGGAGGGCGGATGAAGCCCCCTTCCTGAGGCAGAGGGGGTTGGCGGGAGGCCCCCTCCGCTTCCCTCCCCGCCGGGGGCAGAGGGAAGCACCCCCAGCACCTGTTGCGCCGCCGCTCGGCCACGAGCGAGGGGGCAGCGGCGAGGACCCCCCCCGCTCGCCTCCTTCTTCCCACCGACAACTTCCCGGGGCGTAAACGGCCGCGCCAGGTGCCGCCCTCGCCGTGATGGGACGGCGGGCGTGGGAGGGAGGTGGGGAGTGGAGAGACACGGCGCAGGCTGGCAGCGCGGCCGCTGAGCAGCGGGCGGGGAGGGTGGTTGTGTGCGAGCGCGGTCCGCCCGCCCCCGCCGGTGCCGCTGACAGGTGCGCGCTTCTCCGCGGCTGTAGCACCAGCCTCGGCCCCTCCGGCCCCCGCCCGCCACGGCATCGGGTTGTTTAGTCCTTGGGAAGCTGGTCTGGGTCCAGACTTTGCTTTGATCCTTTTTTTTTTTTTTCCCCCCCTCCTTTTTTTTTTTTTTTTTTTTTTTTTTAAGAGAGAGAGAGAGAAAAAAAGGCAAAGGAAAACAAAACCTGGAGACACAGAAGAGCGCTCTAGGAAAAAGTTTTGGATGGGATTATGTGGAAAGTACCCTGCAATTCTCCGCTGCCAGAGCAGGCTCAGTGCTGCCTTCTCCCCAGCGGCGCAGCCCGCGCCGGGCGCTGCTGAGAGACGCCCGGGCCTCGGTGCCTCGCCGCCAGTGCCTGCTGTGCCGGAGCCCCTCGCCCCGCCGGCCCAATGCTCCTCCTCGGGCTGTTCCTGCTGACATCTGCCCTGGCCGGCCGGAGGCAGGGGGCCGTCGCCGAGTCCGACCTCAGCAGCAAGTTCGCCTTCTCCGGCGCCAAGGAGCAGAACGGTAAGGAGCCGCAGCCGCCGCCGCCGCGCAGCCCGGGGCAGGGCGGGGGCGGGCGCCCGGCCGGCGCGGCGCGGAGCTCTGCTCTCCCCCTCCTCTCCCTCTTCTCTCCCGCCGCCCGCGGGGCAGCCCCTCGCCGCGGAGGGACGCGGCCCCGCGGGGTGGCGGCGGGCAGAGCGGGGCGGCAGCCAGGGCTCTGCCCGCCGGCTCGGGCAGCGCTGTGGGTAAAAGGGCAGCGGCTCGGCGGGCGGGGGGAGCCCGGCGCCGGCTCGGTGGCTCCCTCCTTTGAGGTATTTGAGGTGCAAAACGTGTCCCGTTCCCCTCCAACCTCCCCGCCCCGCTAAAAAACTACCCAAACAAACCCAACAACGACCCGCGCACCTTTGTACCCTGAATGCTCTCGGGGAGGGGAGGGGGGGTTGTGTCTGTGCGTGAATGAGTGGTATTTTGTACGGGCTGGAAACGAGCTAATCCTGCATAGGAAATGAGAATTACTTTCAACTTTCAAGTGTACCTGAAATGTTTAGAAAACTCTCAAATGCAAGTTCCCCTGGGCTGGGACTGCGCTGAACTGGAGAAAGACTCCTTTCATACAGCAAGGGCAGCTTCGGGGTGTGTAATTTGCTTACCCTCTGAACTCCATATGATTTACATTATTCAGATTTTTAAGTGCCTTTCCTCTTGATCTGCTATTATGAAGTCATTTTAGAGAATATTTTACAAACTGTAACGTTATATACTGCATGAAACCCCACTTAGTGTAGAATATCTAAAATTAAGGCTGTTAACATACATGCATGGAAACCCTGGTGTTTAATGTACGGGGCCGGGGGGGACGGGGGGGAGAGATGGTGTTTGAAAAATTTAGTACTTTGCATGTCATCTAGACCAAACTTTCTCCATGGGCACAAACCAACACAAAAGGCCAATCTGGGAGCTCTCAAAACATTCTGAACTGTAATGAAATAAAACAGAAACGCAGATTTGAGGCTAATTCAATTCTTTCAACTTTGAACTTGGGACTCTCCAGATAAAAGTATTCTACGTTGTATCTTGTAATAGAAAGCAAAGTTTCAGAGACCTCTTCAAGTGCTTTGTGAATGGGTAGAATATGCAGTGCACTAACAAATTTAGAAGGGGGAGATTAATACTGCAGTGGCCTGTTAATGTGATGATAAATGGCACCTGCAGACTGCCGGAGCTGCTGATCAAAGAGCAGCATGGGGATCAATCTCTAATCAGAGCAACTGTGAAGGGCCAGAGGAAAGTGATCAAAAGACTCAGAGACCCAGCTATTCTGACAGGAAACCAATCAGACTTTGTGCATAGTACAGGAAATTATCTGCTCTGTGTGAGAAATCACTCACTTTCTACCCCTTCCCATCTTACCTGGTGTTTAGAGGCTTTAGGGCACCAGTTTGTGACAAAATGGGCTTGGCAATTTTATAGTAATGTCTTGTGCTATTATGCTGCCTTCTCTTAAATTTGCATGGTGTGCATGTGGAGCATATCAACACACAAAGTATTGTCATTGCTTTGCTTTGACTTTGTCAGGAGTGCAAGGAAACCTGCTATGCTGTCAGTCTGCTCTAAAAGGTTTGTTACAGGATAACGCAGCTGGGCCCTGAAGGGCCTGCAGGGTCCAACAATGGGAGCACAACAGTGTAAAAGGTAGATCGTACAGCATAGAAGCAGAACTTATGTAAATATCTAAATGTAATATGTAAATAGGTGTAAGTATATGTGACAGTACAAACTAGATTTTGTTCACGTATATCAGAAACACAGCTGGCTTAGGTCAGGCTTCAACTGGTTTGCAATGCAATTTGGCATGCTCTAAGATAGTCACTACATCTTAGAACAAATGCAAAGCTGGGAGAATATTTTTTTTTTTTTTAAAGTACCCTGATGTGGTAATTTATACCTAGAAGTATTGCTTTGCTTTATAGTTGTGCTAATTCTTAAAGTAATTATTGCAATTGAACAAGTTCAGGTATAGCTAAGTACCAACCCCTGACTTTTTTTAACTGATTTTAATTATTTGGGGGATCGGTAACACTGGTCAAACCAGTTCTTACTTGATTTAATTAGAGTGATTTTTACACTCTGCTGCAATCTAAAGATTGTATAGCTTTTAGCTAGAGGCAGGTTAAAACTCCCTGGAGTATGAGAATGAGATATTGCTGTTCACATGCCAAATAATCTCTGGTCAGGAGAGAGGGAGATTTTTTTTACTTACGCAGTCTACAAATAAAAATTCTGTCCTCAACTTGTAAAACTGCTAAAGGGCCAAGAAATTTTGGAGTAGAATGGATTACAGCGTTACTCAGCTGCACACATGGGTGCTATAGTTATTGCTTCAAGGTGATACTGAAGATGTCTGTGATCAGTTATTAATTCAGTGCCACTACTTGTATTACAAAGGGTAAGTATGTGCTTAAGAATTAATTTTTTCATAATTGGTATTTACTTATCTATTAGCTAAATTATTATTAACTTCAAAATTACAATTTAACTCCATTTATTTGCTAACGGTAGACATAAGGACCTCTCTTGTTTCTGCTGTATAGTGAATGTTGTATTAGGTGGCAATTTCCTAGTGTAAATATTTCTTTGTAAATTAAATATTTTTAGAACACAGTGTTTTGCTGTTACCTCCTGGAAATTCAGTGTGTTGGGGGTTGTGGGGCAAGCCTAGCTCCGTTTAAAACCACTTAAAACTACCTCCATGTTTTGATTTGCCTCTCCTCTGTTATAGTGATATTTTCTTTAGGAACAGGTTTTATTTGTAACTCTACTTGACAGTAAGGGATTTTATGTGATTTCTTTGAAAAAATCCTATTTATCTTTAATGTTTTTATTTTATTCAACTGAGTAAATATTCTTCTGGAGGATCAAAGAAGTTTATGCAATTTTTCTGGAAAGCAAAGTAGCAGTAAATGATGCATGTAGTGATGGCTCCCATATATCTGGATGGACTTTATTTCTATGGTTCTTGTCACATCGAAGAGCAAATTATTCTTTGAAAGGTTTTTCATACTTAGGTGGGTTTATCATTTCTCTTATGGTTATCTGATGTATTTATTAAGAGTTTTCCATATTGAAGTAAAAAGTCAAGAAAAATTGTTTGCTCAGTTTCTTTTGAAGAACAAAACTGAATCTCTTGTGTATTGAATTTGATTACCTGGATGGTTTAATTATTTCTTCTTTCTATTATATTTCTTGCTTCATTTTCATCTACTTTTGATGGCTGTTTTTGATGTAGTTTCTGTAGTTTCAGCAGCATCTGAGGGAGCTGTTAGTAGATTGAGTAATGTGAATGATTTAACCCTGGTGGTCTGAGTGCACGTACTTATATAATGTTATTAGTTTAATATAGATTTGAGACAACATGAGATGGCAGGAGAATCTAAATTCTATTCTCTTGGCTGTTTAGAAGAAGATGCAATAAATGTTTAAAGGAACTTTGCTAAGCTATCAGCTGTTATGTTTTCTATGAGAAATATGAGAATGTCTCTATAGAAAAAACTACCGTTTGGTGCCATAAGCAATGACGTGTATAGCTTATGTGGCATGTATGTTTAAAGTGTAGTAATGACTGACTTCAGAAGGCCAAGAACCTGAGATCAATTAGCAACTCACCAGGGCCAGTGAGAAATACTAACTTTCCTCCAGTTAGTTTCAAGTATGAATGAACAGCAGTAAATAGAGTTGCTGAAGTAAATCTTAGAAAACTAAAGCACTTACTTGATTTCTGTCAATCCTGAAGCACTTGCATTAATTCTGCAGGTAATGTACTGGTCATGATCTGTCTTTTCACAGATCTTAATTTCTTTTAAGGTGTTGGGTGGTTTTTTTGTTTTTGTCTTCTTTTGTTTTGTTTTTTCTTCCCCCACATAAATGTAAACTGTTAATAATCAATTTCGGTAGCTGACTGCTTCATAATCATGGACATGATTTATGTAGCTCAAAAAACCCCCCAAACAGGTGCCCTTGAGACAGAGTTTGAGACTTGCATATCTCAGGCTATCCTTGGGAAAAGCTGGTGAATGCAGCTGGAACTAAGTGAGTAACTGAAATGCCAGAGGGAGCTTCTCTCATCCCCTTGACCTGTACATGGCCTGACATGCTTCCTAAGAACCACCTAAAGGATTCTCTGATTTGTGTGTCTCTAAAGGGAGCTTCCAGCTTATTCAGGGAGGGGACAGCATCACAACAGAGTTTCTGACTAAGTTACTTTAACTTGGGCCAAACACCTGTAAAAGGTAGGGATGTCCAGGTGATGCAGCACATTGAAACCTTGCAGATGGGAATATCAGTGCTTTTGCTTGAATGCAGTCATTTGACTGAAAAATTATCTCTTATAAATGAACATAGTTTATAGTGGTGGGGTGCCACTTCTGCTGACTCTTGTTGAATTGAAGAGTGCCAGCACAGCCTGTTGACTGCTGCTGGGTAGCAGAAATTTTCTGCATTTTGAGAAGATAAGGAAGTATAAAATATAAGCATGTCATCTAAAAGAAAACTTGATAGTGATGCAATTTTTCTCAAGTTTAGTCTATTTCTATTTAGTCCAAGACTGGTTTTGAAATGTTTTAAAGCCCTTTTCCTGGAGAGCGATGAATTACAGCACATCATCTTTTGACTTTAAGCAAAAGATTGTGGCAAATTAGAGAAGTTGTTCAACACTACAATAAATTGCAGAGGAAGAAAGCTTTTAAAACTGGTTTTTTTTTTTCCTTTTTAATTGACTTCTGACACATCATCTGCCATTCAGCAAGGTGCTGCTTGGGATTACTTAGTCCTGCAGCTTCTCTGAGTTTCTTCTGTTAGGTAAATGTAGGATTTTAAAAGCACAAACCATTTGCTACTTGTCCCAAATATGTAGTCATTCCAACCTTCTTGTACGTTTGTTAAATATCTTGAATGGAATTTAATCTGAAATCTTGTTTTTGCATTAACTAGTTCCTACTAGGTTTGCCAATCAGACTTTAAAGTTTCATATCATGTTGTTTGGGGTTATTTAGTTTGTCTGTCAGTCAGATAGAGTTTTATAATGAAGAAGAAACATGGGACATACCGTGAGACAGTGACAGCTATATAGCCAAAGAGCTTATGTTGAACTTTGTCTTCACATAAAGTCTTTTTAATCTTATAACTTTATGCAACTCCTTTGAGTCTTAA